GTCTGCCGGTTTAATTGAAAATTGCCTCTGTCTGAGCAGCACCGGGCGCAATTGGAGAACAGAGGAATTCCTCGAGACTGTGGTACTTTTTTATTTACAAAGCGAATGAGTTTATTCATGGACTTTATTATAAGCAGGGAAGAGTGATTTGAATTTATGTATTCAAATAAAGTAAAACATTTAGATAGATGTATTGGATAGTTTGGCATCATTTTAGTTGAACAAAACTCTAATAACCATGGGGAGGCCATGTCAAGTAGTCGGGGGGGGGGGGGGGGCACTAGACCACCCCACCCACCCCCATTTATCCCCCCACAGATATTTTTGAATGTCCGTTGTATGGGGCGCCGCGGTGGTGAGATGTTAACTGCCTCCCATAGTATGCAGGTCATGGGTTAGATCCCGACCCTGACGCCTGCTGCTGTATATTTGGAGTTTGCGTGTTCTCTCTCCCCCTGTGGTCGCGTGGATTTTTCTCCGGGTCCTCGGGGTTCCTTTCTCTACATTTAAAAACACACGTTTTAGAGTATTTGCCTGTGATAACATTTCAACGTGATTATAAGCCGCTTCGTTGAGCTGTCAGTTGTGGCCAGGTCGCTTCTGAAAAAGAGCTACATAGCTCGCAGGGCTTTACCTGGTAAAATTAAAAGTTTCGTTTATAAGTTCATCCTCTAAGCCATGGTTCTTCAAACTATGATTATATTGGCTGGCCAAAAAGCTAGCGTGCGCTGGTTGGCCACAATGTTACGTCGCATGTACAGAGGTTGTGACGTCGCATGGCATCATGTCTGCACGTGGGCTCACTGTGTACCTCTTTTCTTCATGCGTCTCATCTACGCATCCTTTATTTAACCAGGAGATAAAACAAATAGGCCAATGAGACGGTTACATTGCTTGTTTTGCAAGGGGGCACAGGGTTGCTCGCTCATTTATTTTGCTTTCATCTCAATTCTCTCATCTACAGCCCTCTCATCTACATCTCGTGTCTCTTTTATCCCATTTGTCTGTAATCTGTCCTGGAGAGCCATATCTCATGGTGGGCCACAGCTCAAATCAATTGTTCCCGTGTGGGCAAGCTCACAAGTGAGAACTTTAACACGACACGTCAATTTACAAAGTGCATTTAAGTTCAACCGCGCCTCAAGACGCCGTACAGAAATTGTGGGAATATCTGCTTCATAGAAAGAGGCAGTTGGTCAGAGGTGGAGAAAATAAGGAAAATCTTTAGCTCTGAGTTGAACAGAAACACGCAAACCAAGACAGCGGGGCCGGAAATGGCTGGGCCCAGAGTAGGCCTCCAGAATTGACGTGCTGTGCCGCCTGTTACCTGCATGGCGTCTCCGCTGACAGATGAGGGCCCACGTGAATTCGCGCTGGTTCCTATTCCGCAAGCGCGTGGACAATCTGCTGTACCTGCTCATGCCGGGAACGTTTGTGCCCCTGTACACCATGGTGAGTTCCACCCATTGGTGTGGGTTGCATCAACAGGTTTTCCCAATTAGATTGTTTTGCTTGTGCCACTTGTTCCAGTAAAAAAAAGGCTTTTGGAATCTGACGATTGACAAAATAAAAAAGATGTACATGTATCCTACTCAAGAACGGTGGTCGATGGCATAATAGAACTGCAGTTAAAATCGAATTTCTTCATCATTAACTCTACCTTATATAACAAATGTATTTAATAGGCTGCGCTGGGTAACAGACCGCCATCTCGAACAAAGAGCATATATATTTTAAAATATATATCTGGAGAATGCACTTGCACTATAGTTCCCTGAAAAAATATTGGAAGTTTTAATAATGCTGACAAATGTAACCTTTTGTATTGACGTAAGTTATGTATTCCCCCGCAACAAGTCACACTAAGTGACAAACGAAGAGATGATATCGACCTTGAGGCGTTGCGTGCAACTGGCCATGGAAAATGTTCACGCAATTTCCCCCCACAAATAATTGCATTCAGGACAGAGAAGATAAAAAAAAAATCATTGGTGGAGTCATGTGACCTCTTAACTGAAAATCCAGTTTTCACTTGACATCACCAATATTTGACCATTCCCACCTGCCCCTCCAAGCTTCAACTTGCCCCTTGCATGCCTCCTCCCCCCATTCAAATCCCATGACCTCACTTCCCCACACAAACACCTGACTCGCGTGTCCTGTGCTCACAGGTGACGTTCACAAGAATACGCTACCACGAGGTTGTGAAAAAGTGTAAACTGCAGAACAAGGTATACACGCTTGTGCGCACTTTGTACACGTTGCTTCACTCCATTAGCATTTGCCACCCACCCCACAAAGGCTGGGTGGATCCACCAAAGGCCTCAATGGCCTTTTGCTAACGTGAATGGCACCCACCGTTGTCCTTTAAGCCATTTTTGTAAAGACAGGAGTTGCAGAAACCCAACAGTGGAACTAGTGGTGCCTTTGTCTGTGGCAAATAAGTTTCTCGTTTCTGTTCAACCTCTGCGCAGGTGGTGAACTCGGCACTGTTGGGCATCGGGGTGCTGTCGGTGCTGTCGGCAGGAGCCTGGGTTGCGACCCGTATCCGTGGTCATCCCGATGCAAGCCTGTTGCTCCTCTGGGAGCTGCCCCGTGCCCTCCAGTCCAAGATCATCCCCGAGGGCTGGCTGGGATAGCCGACGTGCACATACCAGGAGGCTCATCCTGAGCACCCGTTGAAGCACAGGTTGTTGCACCACTCCTAAAACGTGTTCGGGGCGTGCCGCTTGTTGTTTCGGCACGACGTCCGACGTATTGATCCATGCGCCCGGGAGCTCCCGAAATTCGGATTCATAAGCTCTCCGCACGCAGAAACGTAGGCAATGGTGCAAACCCCCCCCCCACGCAGCGAGACCCGGAAATGCTTCAGAGAGCTATACAGGGAAGCTGCATAAACCTGCGCAGGAGTGCATCTTGAAGCAGCATTTCTCAACCGGTGGTACCAATTCTGCAGACTGCCAATTTGCGGTTCTATCGCGGGATTGACAAAATGTCACAAACAATTTGCATCATGCCGCCATGAATTTGAAATTATTTCATGTTTAGCAGTGGAGGAAATTGTATTCTCAGATCCAACCCATGTGGCATTGATGCAAAAACGGTTGCATAACACTGCCTTAAAGACTGACAGGGGGCCAAAAATCATGACCATGCAAATGAGCTGTTACTTTACAAGTGTTGGCAAATTAAATCGACGCTCTTTCAGCAATTAATGCGAATGACTACATTTTTTAATCGCTGTTTTATTGCAGATTTCATTTATGTATTTTGCGAAGTATACAGCATTTCCTACATAAATAAAATAAGCAAATGTACAGCTACACAACCATGAAATACTTTTAAAATGGAAGTTCAGACCATTTGAACTGTATGGGAAAGCTTCATTTTCCAACGTTGAACATTTCTTTTACACACGTACAATATTTATATCTTTGATTGATCAAAGTATTATAAACATCATTAGTCTTAAAGAAAACAGGTTTTACATAGTTTGCCTTTTAAGTATGGCACAGGCTGTGCTTAACCAAGTAACCCAATTTACCAACTTGAAATTGTGCAACTTTGCCCTGTAGATGTCCACTGAATAAGGTAATGGGCCACATTAATCCAGATGTCTTATTTTAAATCTGGCAGTTTCATGCTCACAAATATTCCGAGATGGAAAAAAATATATTCCCTTTGTCCAATTTAAAAACTTCATGCAATCCAACAAACCAGAGGTTTGCAAACCTCTCCCATCCCCACTTAGATTGATGTAAATTTGTAATCAGGCTATGCTTTCACAACGCGATTTAGCTTTCTCACGTCACAGCCTCTCCAAAAACATGTGCACTTTGTAAGTGAACACTGCAATTACTGACCTGACCAACATGCAAATGTACTATTCACATAGATTTATAAAATGTGCACATCTCTATGTAAACACGCTGAAGAATGGTGTATGGGATCAACATTTGCAAGTTTTGCACACTGTTCAAAAACAGCGCCGTTTAAATCGAGATAAGTACAAAAGAATGTTTAATGGCTTCAGTTAAGCCAACCTTTAATAAAGACAATTTACAATCGATGGACTGCAATGTTGGGTGCGATAAATGTATTGTTGAATTCTTAGGATTCATCAGACAATACAGGTTCAGAAAACCATTCTAGGCCTTAACACATCACAGATGTTAAAGGACTGGATATCTTAACTTAAGCCCATATGCCCCTATGCCTAATTTTCACTAGTCTACGACTGCAGCAATTCCTGGGTAAGCTACAAGATTAATAAACAAGAAAAACAAAAATCGTAAGAGCAACACAATTATGTGTCTGACTCGGGTATTGCCTATCAAGTCCATAGGCACAAACCTGAGTGCCAAACACTCACCAGCAAGCTACCACAGGGCAAATGCAAATAATATTACACGATTGCTTCTGAAATTACTCTAACTGGATGTCTTTAAAACAAATGGGCTCTAGCACATTTGGAAACATTTAAAAACGGGTGCATGGTTTGAGCACACCGCCCCTCCATGTGCTCCTTTCCCAAGCTCTTTAAACGTTTCATTTTACCAGACAAAGCCCACTGGAGCTCTGTAGCTCTTTTTCAGAAGCGAACTGACCACAAATGACAGCTCAACGAAGTGGCTTATGTGGAAACATGGCAGCCAAATACTCTAAACGCATGTTTCTAAAGTGGAGGGAAAAATCGGAGGCCCAGGTGAAAAATGCACACGACCACAAGGAGAACATATAAACTCCAAATATACAGGCGTTGGGATCGAACCCACTATCACCTGTATACCAGGCGAGTTAGTTGATATCTCGCCACCGCGGAAGCCAAGACAGGGGAATCATCTGAAACCCCGATGGCTTTTGACCACAAATATGCAGGTATTTGCGGTTGTGCCGTATCGCTCTCCGACGCCTGTTTTGAGTCAAGCACGACGCCCGACGTTTCGCTCGACGCGCGGGGGGGGGGGGGGGGGGGGGGGGGGGGGGGGGGGGGGGGGGGGGGGGGGGGGGGGGGGGGGGGGGGGGACGGGACTTCCGCAGAAATGTTTAGTTCCTGCCGAAGTTCCCAGCACGCAAAAAATAGGATTTAGAAAACGACGCGCGGGACGATTCCCAACACATCGGAGAACGGTGCATTGAAGCCAGCTGAAACAAAAAATTAGGTTATTATCAGTAACCAATGTCAAGTTTGTACATTTAAAAGGAACATAAATTCGAGGTGCAGTTAAAGTGAAAACATCGGCATGCGACGAATCTATAAAATACAATTGTAAAGTAATCAGCACTCTATTGCCCCCACCAAGTCACTGGTGCACTTGTGATACCCTTTAAAATGTATTACATACAGTGATAGGTATTTTTGGTCTTATAACTTTGTTATTTTCTTTGAACCTATCTACGTGACTTTACCAAAAGACCCAAAGAATGAATTCCTGCAGTCACGAAAGCTTTAAGTCAAGATACAACTATGATTGTTTAATTCACTGTGTAACTGGGACCAACATGTTTTCCATGTGCTCTGAATAATGTCTTGGTGCCCTGTTGCATAATATAATATCCAAATTCTTAATTTCATATTTCAGGTGAAACACGTATTTGTCCACAGCGCTTTGGCATACAGTCCTTAAGAACTTCACCTGGACAGACCCATTCTTACATCTTGTTAAGGAAAGTACCACTTCCTTCACTGTTAGGCATAAGATAATGTCTTATTCGTATAATATTTAAGACAATGGAATTATTCGGATTTGAATAGTCAAATGCAAGAAAGTCATTACATTTGGCTACCAATGTGAGAAATTATGGTAAAATCAAGGGTTTGACAAACAGCACTGACTGACCACTTGCCAGACCATGGATATTTAGAACACTTCTTGAAATTATATCCCAAATACTTAAAATACAAAACGTTTAAGCAAGTCTTGAGAAGTCAGTAACTGCCTAACTCTTCAAAAATAATACATGAGCCAGGTCCCCTCGCTTTTGAGTTCCATGAAAAGGCCAATATGCAACAAGTGCTGAAAAAAAAAAGATTTTACAAGTTAAATACCAATACATGATGTAAATAAAAAGACCGATAAAGAACAATCTCTTGGAAAAAAAACGCATGCAAAACACTAGAACGCAAAGGTGCTGCCACACCTATGGGAATGGGTGTGCACCACCCCCAACATCTGCCCAGGAACATCTCCGCTGCAGGAAACAGCCAGGCAATGTGACCAGGGTGGCAGGCACCAGGCCGGACCGCCAGCCGCGTTTCGTTCCTCAAGCACAGCGCAACTCGCGGTCGTCACTCCATCTTCGACATCTCAAACTTGGTGGTCATTATTTCCTGATGGGGAAAAACAAAACGAGGTTTTACGTTCATAAAGTTTGCAGCAGCTCTCCCAATGCATATTGCTTACGTCCGTAAAAGTAGAATCACGCCAATGGGAATAACCATCGCTTTATTGAGTTCAGCAACGCGTATCCGGCTGTGCTGTAAATCTCTGCGATGCATTCTCGGGCTGTACAATGCTGTATAATTGAGGGGAAAAAGTGAACAGCTCGATTCAATTCCTGAAGAAGCTCCCAGCCCGTGGAACAAAACGCTGGACATCGTGCCGAACGACGCGCAAAACGCAACCCAAAAAAAACATCGGAGAGTTGCACAGCGCATCCGTGAAAACCAAAGCAAGGAAGTTTTACAGATATTGATAATGCCATGGGTTTTTGCATTGGTATTTCAACTTTCACAAATACCAATTAGTGAAAAGCTATTGCTGATGGCATTAACAAATATATGGCCAATTCAAGCCTCGTTGTCCAAGTAGTGCTTCTGTATGCTAGATTTTACATCATAGTGTTTTATTTACTGAATGGTGTTTTTACCTCATCCGAGTCCAGCAAGGCAGGCATGGCACTGCAAGACAAGGGGGACACATTTCGTAAGCAGCTGTAGTGCAAGATACTTAAATCAACCATAATGATTTACATTGATTAATCTCTTAAACGCGGCAATTTACAACTAAATAGGAGATACAAAATAAATCAGGGGGCGGGCAGGGGGTGAAGAAAAAAGAAACGCAAAATATAAAAAAAGAGGACAAACTTACACTAAACATCAATGCCAAAGGGACACTACAGATATAGGGCAAGAGAGTGCCGCTTGCATGCAAAGCAGTGACAGTGAACCGAGAGTCTCAGCAACGATATGCTTCCCAGGGGAATTGTATTCTTCAAAGCCTATAAAGAGACTAGCCGTTTGCCCGTCCAAGGACGGGTGTATTGCAGTAAATCTGAAACTTGCAAGCGAAAAGCAGACAGCGACGTGATATTTACTGCATTAATGCGTCTGCAACTTGTAAGGGCGCGGTGACACAGACCTATTTCATTTTGAGGTTATAATCCCTTGTTCATCAGGACGTCCTTTTTACTTTGATGTCTCAACAGCGTTACGGAGATCACGTGACGTGAGGGTTCAGCGTTTGCAGTGAGGGTTGTAAGTTGACGCCGAGGAGGGGGGAGGAGTGACGTCAGCTGCTAATTATGAATGGGGGGGGGGGGGGGGTTGTCCATTTGGAGGACGTCACCTTATGATTATTAATGAGGAGAGGGGCTGGTCTTTGTGGAGTGATGTGACCTGCTCATGATTATTAATGAGGGGGGGGCTGGTCGATGTGGAGTGACGTCAGGAGCGTTAAGGACAGACATTCCTGGGTGATTATAGTAGGTATGCTCTTCAAGTTTCTAGTACGTACACATCTGCCATCGAGGCCGGGATGTTGTCTTCTACCCACTTGAGATCATCCTCCTGGGAAAAAAGCGACAATAAGAGGAAATTGTTCCATTGCACCGCATGCGCCGATGCCACGTTACATTTCTAAAATGGGCCGGAGGATTGATTTTTTTTTACTTTGGGGGTGGCTCACCTGCTTGTTGACATTTGGGCGGCTGGATCCATTCAACTCGGGCTTACTTCCCCTCATCTTCATGCCATCTGAAATCGAAAGCGTTTTACACCACGCAGAGAGTTTTAACAACCGACACGCGAGCTCCGGCCATCCTCGCCAGCAGCTTTTGGGCTAGCCCATCGAATAAAGACGGGCACTACTGCATCACGCCCTTTCAGACGTGCTTCTGTGGCCGTCTGGAACACTCTTCCTTTCGATGTTAGGAAGCCACTGGAGCGCGGTGCACTTCTACATCTAGATTTAAAACTCATTTCTTTCAAACTGCTTTCTGTGTTTAGTTTGTTGTCCATCCCCCGCACCTCCGATTAGCATGGTTGGCTACGTACGGTTCGAAGGAAGTTCAACATACGTACATACATTCAGGTCATGTAGGTGGGGCAGCCTAGGTGCACTACTTGCTCCACATACCGTATGCTTCGTTCATCATGGGCTCCTCTTCCTCGTCCTCATCCTCATCATTGTCCAGCAGTGGAGTGAACGCATACCTGAAAGGTGGCCACGCACAAACACGGAGTAGGTCGGACATAGGATACCACTCGGTTGTGCCGTATAAAAAACCAGAGTAGTACTAAACACTACTCTAATTTATCCACAGATGCGATAACACTGTTGTATTGCGTCCTCCTATAATTCATTATGTTGGGAATTAGCATTCAAAGATATAAGTTAATCCTCCAGGCAATTATGGCACATACAGCCCATTAGCGGAGCTGACCTGTAAAATCTGTTAACATTTTCAGACAAAATTAACAAAGGCAGTTTTAAAACCCTTTTTCTGTAAAAAATATTCTGTCATCACCACTAACAGCGCACATCAAAGTAGCACAGTACACAACACCTCTATGCATCTTTAGATCAACACACATGCTTACAGAGATAACGTCTGTAAGAATAAAATGGAGCAATAAAATCAGCTGATATGGAGGTGCCAGGTAGATTGATGCATCACGGGGCTGTAAGAGATGGCGACGACTCGTGGGATTGCGTTCATTCAGAAGTGGATTGATCGTGCCTGACGACGATAATGAAAGTCTCACCGCTGGTTGTTGGCAGATGGCCTCCAAAGCACCATAATGACCAGGAGGATGAGGGAAAAGAGAAGTCGCCAGAAGGCTTCCTCCACCCACAACTCCCGCCAGTCCTGTACTCATTTTGTACACACGAGCACACGTGAATGTGAGCGACGTGCATCCCACGACAACTATCTCGTAATACATACAAACGCGCATATTCAAGTCTGTGTGAAGAATTTTAAATCCACTCACCGATTGGCATTCTGCAAATCTGAACTTCCGTGTAGTCCAGATGATGAAAATAAGTGAAGCTTGAAAAGACAATGAAATATAAAACACAAGCATTTAGTTACATTCCAAAGCTGGTAGTACCAAAGTACATTTCTGAATAAAATGTGCAAATTTATTTTAAGAATGAAAACCGATTGAACGGTGACGTATCCAATTCGTTGCCCCCTCCTTCGGCATGCTGTGTGGACTCACCGATTATAGCGAAGATGAGCGTGTTGGTGAAGTGCCTGTAAAGGGACAGCTTCACCACGTTGCGCCTCAGCATGAGCATCTTCATGGTCTGGTACAGGCTGATGAATATGTGCTGCGCTGTCAAGGAGCCAACGCTACATTGTCCTAAACCTTTCCATAATGCTTGTTTTAATAGTACAGGAAACTTGAGCATATTGGCAGACATACCATCTGGAGCTCAGGCTTTTTTATATATATGCAGACTGGATTATTCGCACTGACGGTGAGGACGGACCGTAGTGGGTCATGAGGACCGGAGTTGCTAAATACCAGTGTACAGTTCTTTAGCTTGGGCCTACTTAATGAGGCAAATTGTTTTGAAAATTCAGTGTTCATGCTTTCAGAACTATGTCAATATTCAGATTGTCCCCTTTACTGTTACAATTTAAACTCGATCAATTAAAATACAATTTTACAGCTCAATTATTAATAAAGTCCGAGCTCCACCTGTTTGATTTTAAAAACACGACTGACCGGACCTGATGGCGCTCATACCCAAACTACACTGCATTACAGAGTGCAGTTTGTGACCTTTCTGCGGTTCATATAGAGTGAAATCTGGCGCAGAAGCTAGGTTAGGTAATTGCAGAAACTCAAGCCGACATTGGGAAAAGAAACTCGTACAAATCTGGACGTAGATTGTGCGTCATCGCACGCAGGAGGACAGTGGGTCAGAGCTTAGAGAAACGGTAGAAATATTCAAAAGGCTCAAGAACAGGGATCGAGTTAATTTCATGTGTGCTCATGGTTACAAGGTTCTCCTGAGCAGCCAAGGCAGGAAACACACACACACACACAGACACACAAGGATATCCACCAGCAGAGAGCAGTGTCGAGCACAGCCAGAGGGATTGCAGCCAGCAGGTCCAGGTCAAATTCTTGACCCTACGTGCCATGCACATTGCAGCAATTGCAGCGTAGGGCGTTCACATCCACAAGAGGAATACCAAACACTACACCAGCAAATTAATGAGCGTGGTTTTGTTCATTTTGAGAACATCAAAATTCTGTCTGTTTTAAGAGCTGGGTATCTAAAACACAGTTAAGGATTAAGCGCACGCAGTACAAGGATGAATGAGTGAAGAAGTGAACATGCTCATGTAAACAAGCGCAATAGGTGGAAACTTACAGATTGTTCTAAAAATGCATGCAAAAAAAAACAAAAGTACACGTGACCTCAGGGAAAAAAAAAACTACTGAATACATTTTTTTTGTGATGTTGTCGGCAGTGGTGCACAATTACGAAAAATCACATTCGTTAATAAGTGGCCTAAAAAGGAAATAAAAAATCGGTGACTTTTCAGGTAATGGGCACTTCTTCATTTGTGCTATAAGTACCATTTCTCAAAAAACTTCTTATTTTGGACAATGAGGGCACTACAAATAAATGTAACTATGCAGCAACAAAAGCACATTAAAAAAATGAAAAAGCGCATACAATGACAAAACTTAAAACCACGAAAAAGGATATCCAGTAAATGACACAGGAGTCAATGAATGCGAGGGCGATATCAGAGTACAGGACATTGACGCTGTTCTGCTCCTACAAAACCAACAGAAAACAGAAGCGGCGAGTGAATCACTCAAAACACATGACACCACAATAATAAGTCGAGTTTGTGTTTGACATTAAACCCAACCACTCATCGGACTGGCAGCAAGGTGGATTCGTAACATCTCCCCCCCCCCCCTTAGTCATGTCATGCTGAAGGTTAGATCCATAATTATGGACTGTAAATTATTTCGGCACTCAGATGATGAGATGTAATATTACTTGTAATATAAATCATTTACAGCCATTTGTCAATCAAACTGCTGGACTGGGTCTCCTCCCACACCACTGTCGGTCAAAGGGGTTGATTGGTAATACTTCACTATGCTGGTCATTTCAGGGTTGGTGAAGAGGACAGGCGCAGGACCGGTTCAGATATCACTCACCACCGATGATAACCATGGCCAGGAATAAATCTCTGGTCCATGGGTGCCTAATAGAGTGCACGAACCACTGTGCCACCGCATCACCCGAGGTGTAATATACTTTGTCGCAAACGTGTTGTGCATCGCGTACATCAATAATGTAAAAGTAAGCAAAATGAAGAGCAAGAGGCAGCCCAGGGTCTTACCCCAGAGATACGTAAAATGCCCTCCACTGAAGAAAATATGAGGTACAGCATCCCCACGCCAACCACTTTGTACATCGTGGTACCCAGACGAGGTCTACAAAAACACGTTGTTGAACGGCAAGTTTAGATGTCAACTTTGTAGGGCAAGATGTCTCAACATTGACCAAAAAGGGGAGTTTAAAATCACACCATCAATACAAAAACACAATCTGATTTTACTAAGGAAACCACAAATCCAAGCGACTCACTTGACTATGCCATAGCCAAGGCTGACAATGATGACCAGAAGGCGAGCCAGGGTCCTCTTGAGGGCAGAGAGTAGCTCTGCAAACACTACAGCCCCTCGGACTGCAAATAAACCAGTTTAAAGGGTCGTTAATATTCATGGTGGTGGCGGCTGCAGCAAGAATACTTTTTCAAATCTCAGCTATTGCGGTCTGTGATCATACTTTGTGAAAAGGATTATGGATGTGATTGCAGTTTCTCAACAAAACTGAATGCAGGTGAGAGTTTATTAACATTGCAACTAAGTATACAATCACAGCACAGAGGTAGAATTCTACCATGGTTTCAGGGTGAGTGGCATTTCAGAGGTCTCTGATTTGATCTCCCTAGCATGGCAGTTGAAACAATGGGAACTTAAAAAAAAAGTTCCCATTGTCTGCCCAGAAACATCAATGGGCACACCAGTTAGTCGATTAGCAGGTTGGGTATGGTGGGGTAAACTGTAGGTACTCACACCTCTTCCAAGACTTCTGGCCAATGTGGAAGAGTATGTCAAATACCTTCTCTCTAGATGGGTTCTCCAGAACTTCCCCTTATGGAGGTCCATCTGTCAGCAGTGGTGTGAGAACGTAATCGCAGGACTGAAACTTCTAATTTCACCTGCAGAAATTAGTTCACTCGTCATTGCTACACACCAGAGGTGCCGTAGTAGTTGATGCTGTGGTACTCGGCATAGAAGACGGCCTTCTCAAGCATGCCGAGAAGAATGACGGCTCCAATCCAGAACTGGATGCGCAGGAGGTCCTTCCAGTAGCAGGCCGACCAGGCCAGCCATAGGGCACCGTACAGAGAGTACAGCACGCACATCGCGACATAGAACTAAACACAGCGTTGGGAACGGGGAGAAAAGAAAAGAGTTCGTTTCAAAACCCACACAGAATCGTCATTACATTATATCGAACTGCATTCACTCTCTGAAGCTGTTCCCCGTGGTTAGCATCTCACATTAAGACGCTGTCAATATCATCTGTATTGTAAAGTGTATACATAGGACATGTAATGAATAACCAAAATCAATTCTTACGTAGCTCACAATGTGTGCATCCAATAATGCGTGAATGACTATTTACTATGTGTATCATATGGAAATGTTACCTTCAGGCTAATGAAACCAATTAAACAAAACACGGAGACAACACAAAAACACTATACCAGCGAGTGAGTATGCAATTATAAACGAGGCAAAAAAGATCATCTTCTTGAACAGTGACCCTTCATTGTGACAATTAAAGTCCCAGGGTAAAATATATAGTTACACTACTAAAATACACAAAACACTTTATAATACTTACAATCATAAGTGGCCAGTCGGCAGCCGATATAAAGCCTTCCTCGCTCTTCATTTGAACTTGTACTACAATGAACACACAAGGCATTTTTAGGATTCACAAAAGCCCAAACTCATTGGATTGTGACCATATGAGACATTAGCTGTAGCTATACCATTTAAAAATGACAATTACATGCACACAGTGCAGAACTTTTAACCATATTAACTCTTTGAACTCTGTTGCATTTTGAAAAAGTGTCTACATTCAATCTAATCAGCAGAATTATTGTATTAAACAAATAAAGCCTACATAGTTAATGTGTTAATGTCCACATTCTGTGCTGTTTGATACTGGTCGCTGACGTTGTGGACTTTTGGGCCTGTGTTCAGCGACTATTTGAGAATATGTATGTTTGAGAATTAATAGTGAATTTATAGCTGAATGTATGGCTATGAGAGAAAAAATCACGCCAAAACATGCGACTGCTGAACAAACCGGGTATTTCCCATTCTGGCCCAACAGTTGTGTTGCTTTTAGGATGGATACTCATTATGAAGAGGTATGGCCCATCTCTCCATGTCCTTGTCAGCACATTCTTCTGTAGACATGTTGAAGAAAAAAAAATAATAGGCTTTAGCCTTTCTGGCAATAAAACAGGCGTTAAGATTACCAAACACAAAGTAGAAAGCTATTGTAAGGCATCAAGTCTGCATTAACCCCACATACTTATGGCTAAAATAGCAAACAAATATGTCCTGATAATATATGCATTGTCTTGAAAATTGATTGGCCTACGCCAGAGACAGCCTTCCTTATGGGCTTGGCTTATGTTGCCGATTCTACAACATTGCACACAGCATCGATATATTTTTTTGTATTACTAATAAAGTTAAAGTCTTACCCCGTTTTTGTTTGCGACTGTACTGGCCTTTTGCTCAATTTTGGAAACCTGCTGTCAGAAAAAAAGGACAATCGTGTGATTTGAGTCATAGAGGGCATTTTCTGTGCTCAAAGCAGACACATTGATTGGATATTTTCAGTTGTTACCCACTGAATCTATTTCAACATCTCAGGTTTGAATTACCTTTTCCTCCCGTTTAGTTTTTGTGGAATTACTGGCTTTAACCTGTAAAATAAGAAATAAGAAACACCTAATTCAGTCCAAGTTAAAACAAGTTTGGATTTGAACAGATGAATCTTAATGACTGACTTCTTCAATGATAAATTATGTTTGTGTGTTCGTTTACAACAGTCCAGATCTTACCGTGTTATTAACTGTTTTGATAAACTTCTCAAACGTTGGATGAGCTGCCATGCGCTACACACAAGAAACACACAAAATGTGTTCTCAAAAAACGCATTACTCAACAACAGCTTTTGCACTTCTCTCAGCAAACAAGTGAACCACTTAATTTCCACTCATCACAAAAACCTGAAAACCCACAACATCTCAATGTCCAGAAAGCAAGCTTTTGTTGAGAGCAGGGGGGTTGGGTTTAGAAAAAAAGTGAATGATTAAGTTAATGCTGTTGCCCCCATCTATGGGAAGATGATACAAAATTATAAAATGTTGTTATTGTTGCAATGAAGCTAGTATGTGGGTTACCTTAAAATGTGGGTTATCAACTATATTCCAGGACACACCTGAAATATACCAGCCTCCCTTCTGCTTACCTCCAGATTGAAATTTGCACAAGTCATCGATACTTGGTTGGTGGTGTAATCTATATCATCTGAAATCTTTTCTTCCAAAAGCAGCTTAACCTCCATATCCTGTTCAGAATCAGTGACACACCACATTGCAAGGGAAATGTCATAAAAATATATAATTTCAAAACGTGGATATATAGAAGACTAGTGCTAAAACAAGAGAGCAAGACGCTTTTACAGGATTATTCATGAGGTGTTCGGCTTTAAATCCTGAAAAGCAATACATTTTATACATGTATTGTACATTACTTTAAAACAAAGAAGCGGTGAGTGTTATTCATTACATTCAGCAACCACATACTTACTGGAATGTTAGCAATCTTATTGTAACACTTGGAATGTAACAGCATCCATTTCACATTGAAAACGGCGTTGGGTTGGCATGTTTTCTCTGATACTGCAAAAGAGAGAACATTATTCAGTTTTTTTTTCGATTTGAAGCTTTCGTGACTGCAAGGATTCATCTTCTTTCGGTAAAGTCAGGTAGAATGAGAATAAAATAATAAAATAACACAAATAAAATTCTCACGACGTTTCGGCCACAACGCAAGCGGCCGTCTTCAGGTGAAAGGTACAGAACTGTCGGGACGACAGAGCTTCAATGAACGATGTTAAGATTCGGAGCGACTTTTAAGCTGGTTGGGAGAAGTGAGGCACCTTGACAAAGGGGTTTACATATCAATAGCTGAAGGACTAGCTTGTGACTGGTCACGGAAATGGCTATGTTAAAGTCAAAACCTACACATCCACAGAGGCAACTAGTAATTTAGCATTGAAATAGCTAAGGGATTAGCTTGTGAGAATTTTATTGTGTTATTTTATTATTTTATTCTCATTCTACGTGACTTTACCGAAAGAACCAAAGAAGATTATTCAGTTTTGTTCTATATTAAACTCAAGAACACTGTATTATTGCTATTATTGTTGACCGAGTAAATACAATCGCGTACATGTCCACTGTTTAAGAACACTCACCCACTAGCATGACATCAGTGTTGTTAAACAAAGTCTTGTAGAAATGAAACATCAGGTTTTTCTAGAGAAAACACACAACATTGTGGTTAATATTTGCAATTACATTGTGTGGCTCTAGAGACTAAAACTGTAAACAAGTTAGTGGCTTATACATCAGCAAACACGTTGCAAGCAATGAAGATATGACCTTTAGCACATACGTGTTACAATTACTCATGTGGATCCATTCCTTTGTCAAACCACTGTTGAATGAGGGCCTCCGAACTTCATGTGAGGTGCGAGGATAACTTGACCATATTTCATCAGGCTGGTCAGTGCAGATTCAAGGTGGAGTGCAATTACCGTACTTGAGAACAGATTTAGAGTGCAACATTGGATATTGCTGCAATGTCCTCTGCTCTGCCTTCGCCAAGTGATGCAGCATAAAACATCTGTTATGCATGGTGGCCACCCATCCAAACACCATCCTCCGATGAGCACGGTTGGCTATGTACGGTGCGAAAGAAGTTCAACACACGTACACATCTAGGCTCAACACAGCTAAGCTTCTGAGATGGGTGACCACCATCTACATAGGCGGACGTGGTGCTATACACTGGTTTTCAGCAGAGCTGTAGTGTAGCAAAATGAATTGTTGCAAAGTACTTCTCCGCTCCCAATTACTGTACTGTATGTATGCTTCCCGCCTTCACCAAGCCACACTGACCAGCAGTGTGGTCATAAGGACCCCTTACGGTGTCAGGGAGGCCCTTAATCCAGCAGTGGACTGACAAAGGGCTGTACAAGTATATTTGTGCAAGCGATGTGTCCCGGTCACGGGTGAACACACCGGGGCCGACGTAGAGGGAACAATCCGTTTACAAATAAAAAAGCACTCCATTAAGTGAGGCTCCACGTTATACGGTAATGCGATCACACAATATAAATATAGATACGTGTACTGGATTGGATTGTCATATTTGTATTTGCTCGCTCGTTGGTTTTGTTTGAATAGTATTTTTACTCCATTGGTTTCGTGTATACGTTATCATTTTCAATTAAACGTGTGTTGACGATTGTGTTTTTTTTTCATGACTGTATACTCCGTGAGATGGTTTGAATTTAGACACCTTATAAATTGTAATCACTACACTGTATTCATATCCAGATTGGGAGTGGTGGCATACTGGTTACGGCGCTGTGTTATGAACTTAGCGACCAGTTCGTTTCTAAGCCACAACTTAAATCAGTGGGGAGTGATATATATTCAAACCGGCCCTGCCTACTTAGCTAACTTCACCTACACTCACTGACCAGCATTGTGAAGTACAGTATAGTAAAAAACCCATGGCCATATCTGTCAACCCATGCGGTTTACCCCTAATTCTTGTACAGGGAATATTGAGTTTTCCTGTCCATACGGGATACAGCTGTTTCAATACGGGCAAAAAATGTTTCATTTGTTTGCGTTTCTCCCTTGTGATGGGACTTTGTAGGATGAACGTTGAGATTTATAAGGGCACGCATGGGGTGACCAACAAGGTCCGAATTGTTATGTAATGAGGTAGGCACTGATAAGGGGTTGACAGGTATGCATGGATGACATGGCGCAGGGAGAGACTTTCTCCAGCCAGTGTGGATTGAGAACGGCTGCATTTTAAGTCGAACGATTCCACACCGGTTACACAACTTCGCTTACACGCCACGACGTTAGCCCCGTTGAGGATTACGATGAGGCCGCCTGCGTCCCGAGCTACAAAGACGCACACAGACACCACTCACACACAGACACCACTCACACACACACAGACACACACAGACACCACTCACACAGACACCACTCACACAGACACACACAGACACCACTCACACACAGACACACACAGACACCACTCACACACAGACACACACAGACACCACTCACACACAGACACACACAGACACCACTCACACACAGACACCACTCACACACACACAGACACAGACACCACTCACACACACACACATAGACACCACTCACACACACACAGACACACACAGACACCACTCACACACAGACACACACAGACACCACTCACACACAGACACACACAGACACCACTCACACACAGACACACACAGACACCACTCACACAGACACACACAGACACCACTCACACACAGACACACACAGACACCACTCACACACAGACACACACAGACACCACTCACACACAGACACACACAGACACCACTCACACACAGACACACACAGACACCACTCACACAGACACCACTCACACACAGACACCACTCACACACAGACACCACTCACACACAGACACCACTCACACACAGACACCACTCACACACAGACACCACTCACACACAGACACCACTCACACACAGACACCACTCACACACAGACACCACTCACACACAGACACCACTCACACACAGACACACACAGACACCACTCACACACAGACACACACAGACACCACTCACACACAGACACACACAGACACCACTCACACACAGACACACACACAGACACCACTCACACACAGACACACACAGACACCACTCACACACACACAGACACACACAGACACCACTCACACACAGACACACACAGACACCACTCACACACAGACACACACAGACACCACTCACACACAGACACACACCACTCACACACACAGACACCACTCACACACACAGACACCACTCACACACAGACACCACTCACACACAGACACCACTCACACACAGACACCACTCACACACAGACACACACAGACACCACTCACACACAGACACACACAGACACCACTCACACACAGACACACACACAGACACCACTCACACACAGACACACACACAGACACCACTCACACACAGACACACACAGACACCACTCACACACACACAGACACACACAGACACCACTCACACACACACAGACACACACAGACACCACTCACACACAGACACACACAGACACCACTCACACACAGACACCACTCACACACAGACACCACTCACACACAGACACACACAGACACCACTCACACACAGACACACACAGACACCACTCACACACAGACACACACAGACACCACTCACACACAGACACACACAGACACCACTCACACACAGACACACACAGACACCACTCACACACAGACACACACAGACACCACTCACACACAGACACCACTCACACACACACACATAGACACCACTCACACACACACAGACACACACAGACACCACTCACACACAGACACACACAGACACCACTCACACACAGACACACACAGACACCACTCACACACAGACACACACAGACACCACTCACACACACAGACACCACTCACACACACAGACACCACTCACACACACAGACACCACTCACACACAGACACCACTCACACACAGACACCACTCACACACAGACACCACTCACACACAGACACACACAGACACCACTCACACACAGACACACACAGACACCACTCACACACAGACACACACACAGACACCACTCACACACAGACACACACACAGACACCACTCACACACAGACACACACAGACACCACTCACACACACACAGACACACACAGACACCACTCACACACACACAGACACACACAGACACCACTCACACACAGACACACACAGACACCACTCACACACAGACACCACTCACACACAGACACCACTCACACACAGACACACACAGACACCACTCACACACAGACACACACAGACACCACTCACACACAGACACACACAGACACCACTCACACACAGACACACACAGACACCACTCACACACAGACACACACAGACACCACTCACACACAGACACACACAGACACCACTCACACACAGACACCACTCACACACACACACATAGACACCACTCACACACACACAGACACACACAGACACCACTCACACACAGACACACACAGACACCACTCACACACAGACACACACAGACACCACTCACACACAGACACACACAGACACCACTCACACACAGACACACACAGACACCACTCACACACAGACACACACAGACACCACTCACACACAGACACACACAGGACACCACTCACACACAGACACACACAGACACCACTCACACACAGACACACACAGACACCACTCACACACAGACACACACAGACACCACTCACACACAGACACACACAGACACCACTCACACACAGACACACACAGACACCACTCACACACAGACACCACTCACACACAGACACACACAGACACCACTCACACACAGACACACACAGACACCACTCACACACAGACACACACAGACACCACTCACACACAGACACACACAGACACCACTCACACACAGACACACACAGACACCACTCACACACAGACACACACAGACACCACTCACACACAGACACACACAGACACCACTCACACACAGACACACACAGACACCACTCACACACAGACACCACTCACACACACACACATAGACACCACTCACACACACACAGACACACACAGACACCACTCACACACACACACATAGACACCACTCACACACAGACACACACAGACACCACTCACACACAGACACACACAGACACCACTCACACACAGACACACACAGACACCACTCACACACAGACACACACAGACACCACTCACACACAGACACACACAGACACCACTCACACACAGACACACACAGACACCACTCACACACAGACACACACAGACACCACTCACACACAGACACACACAGACACCACTCACACACAGACACACACAGACACCACTCACACACAGACACACACAGACACCACTCACACACAGACACACACAGACACCACTCACACACAGACACACACAGACACCACTCACACACAGACACACACAGACACCACTCACACACAGACACACACAGACACCACTCACACACAGACACACACAGACACCACTCACACACAGACACACACAGACACCACTCACACACAGACACACACAGACCCCACTCACACACAGACAACCACTCACACACACACACATAGACACCACTCACACA